GATTCAAATAAAGAGGATTTAAATTGGCCTCCCGATGGCTTTCAAGGAGGATTCATGGGAAACAGGCCCATCGTTGGCTATTGGTCATGGTGACCAAAGGGACCCCGTTGTCTGTTGCGGTTGAGTTCGGATATCAGGGCTGGGGGGCAACAGGGTCCGCGGGGGTCCTGCCCTCTGTGACTTGCCTTCCGGCGGTATTTCAGTGGCTGCTGTGAAGCAGGATGGCGGACTGGATCATCTGACCCAGCGGGATGGCTGTTGTGATTGGCAGCCTGTTTTTGGCTACACATCAGTACTTGATTGAACACACGTGAAGCTGAATTAGGCCATCAGGGTCACGGTTGTCTACTGAGGCCCCGGTCACACTAGCGGGAAAAGCCGCGGCAGAAGTGCGGCTTTTTAGGGGTGCAGCAAATTGAAGCACGGCATCGGGATCAGACAGATCCCCCGAGCCGCATTTGCTCCCCACCACAATCACATGCCGAGGGGGAAGCGATGGGACGGAGGGCAAGGTGAGGCAGCTGCGCAGTTGTGCGCATGCGTGGTGTGGCAGGACCTCACATACCACAGGATACGGGCGCGTCAGCGATCACACGGCCACCCGTGCTGCACGTTTCCAAGTAGGTAGTAGTGTTTTGCTGGTATCTTTTAAATCCGCGTTTTCGGCCGGAAGGTTGAGGGTGCAGGCACGATGCTTGCCAGATGTTGGCATCTGATCGCGCCGGTTTAATCCGCCCTCAACCCGTCCGTTTCGCGGGGCAAATCCTCCCGTGTGACCGGGGGCTCAGACTGGCAGCGTCTCTCCAGTGTCTCAGGCTGGGGTCTTCTACATCACCTACCCTTAACTGGAGGTGCTGCCAGGGATTGAACCTGGGACCTTCTGCATGCCAAGCAGAGGCTCTGCCACTAAGCCACGGCCTTGCACATGAAGCCACCTTCAGACCGTTGGTCCATCGAGGTCAGTACTGTCTGCTCAGACTGGCAGCGGCTCTCCAGGGTCTCGGGCAGAGGAAGGTCTTTCTCGTTACCTGCTACCCGACCCTTAACTGGAGCTAGCAGGGATTGACCCTGGGACCTTCTGCATGCAAAGCCGATGCTCTGCCAGTGAGCCACAGCCCTTGCTGTATTCTGAATGCAGAGGAATCTGGCAACATTTTGCACTTTTTGGAGTACTCAAATGCCAGGTCTACTTGTGTGGGTCTATATTAGGCCAGTCGTGTCTAACTGTTTGCTCTCCTCAGCGGATGGCCTGACCATCGAAGACTTGAACTCTCTCATTGCCCATGCCCATCGACGCATTGACCAGCTCAATAAGGATCTGGCAGAGCAGAAAGTCCGAGAGAAGCAGCACATAGAGGCAGCTCTGGAAAAGCAGACCCTGGAGGACAAACGGGCTTTTGAGTCCGCTGTGACCAAAGCCCTGGAACACCACAAGACTGAGATCCAAATGGAGCAAGAGAAGAAGGTGACGGGTGCAGTTAAGCATTCTCTCGGTGTGGGGCATGGGGTGGAGGGAGAGGGACAGGAAAACCAGTCTCTGGATTTTAATCCCTAGTTGACTAGCAGTAGGTGGGCAGAGGTGCTGGTTGTTGGTCCTACAGTAACAAGAACCTTTCCAGTTACTGGCTCTGTCTTAAGAAGGCTGGCATTGTTCATGGGTGCCGTGCTGAAGCTGTCCTTCAGCCCTTTCCTGTTGTGGTATTTATTTTGTGATCCTAAAATGGGCCAGCTGAGGCACCCTGGGAGGCCTGTAGCCAGGGAAGTGCCTTGAGACTGTTGGCCCTTCCATCCTGGTAGTGTGTCTGGGGTGGATAACCCCCAAGGTCATCTTCCTCCCATACCCCCAACCTGTTTGCTGGCATGCCAGCATGTGTACGGTGTGTTTGGCCCTGGGGCTGGAAAGGTCCTTTCTTCAGTGTACAGCCTGAAAGGCCCCCTTTTCTTTGTAAAGATGGAATGTTGTAATCAAGCAACACAATTGTTCTTGAATTATACTGTGATATTTTTACTGGGGGCATAGACTAGCAAGTCACCGCAAGAGCCATCCGCTGATCAATTTGAGTGGCAGATTACAAAGTCCGGCAGTGCAGTATTACAGTAAACATTATTATAAACATTGTAATAAGATTATAATCAGATTTACTCTGGTTTTAGGCCTAGTAAATGACCTGATCTCTGCAATTCACTCCATACTATAAGCATCAAAGTATATGGATATTTTGCCTTCCATTTTATGAATAATACTGATTTGTTGTTCTTTGTCTCTGGTAGAAGTTATTTACTTTTGGGGGGTGGGGTTGATGTCACCAGGGCAGATACGTGACAAAAGAGAAGGGACAGATTAGAACCGAAAACAAAAATGGAAAGAGAAAGCACTTTCTTTTTTTTTTTTTTAAAGCAAAAGCTTATCTTGGATCCCGACTGGCCAAAGGTCCTTATTTAAGGCCATAAGCATTGTTATCTAAAAATGAGCAATGTAGATAATATTTTATTTCATTGTTGTGGCTTCTGGGCAGGCACACATTGGGACTGCATCTGTACGATTTTCAGAGCTTTCTAGTAGACTAGGAGCGCCCCTCTTCCCTCTGGCACCTTCCTGCAAAAACCACCCCATGACCAGGAGGAAGGGCACGACTCCCTCCATTCCCTTTTTGCTCCTGCAAAGAGAAGTTCTCCATTGCCGCCTCCTGTTTTTCCTCACCTCATTTTTAAGACTGAGGCTTGTTTCTATCAGAAGTTAGAAGAAATGTTTTTGACTTTCCACTTTGTCATTACAGCTCAAAAGGGGCCTTCTGGATTGTGTGGACTGTGTCTTTAAGGTGGTGCTGATAAATGCCCATTCTTTGTGCCTTATCTGCCTGGGGGATCACACAACAGAGTGGCCTGCTGTTGCTGTCCCCAAGTGACCCCTAAAGGCATGATTTGATAGAGCTGGATTCAAAGGGGCTTTTTTTCAGAGGCTTTTGCTGGGCGCCAGCCTGCATAAAGGCATCCCCCCCCCCCCCCCCCGCCGGGTGAGGTGCAGTGTGACAGAGCCTCAGATCCAGCATGGCTCGTTTCAAAGGCCTTGGCTGCATGCCAGCCTGAATGAAGGCACCTTCCCCCTCCCTGGTGAGGTGTGGTCTGGCAGAGGCTCAGATCCAGCATGGCTCTTTTCAGAGGCTTTGGCTGAGTGCCAGTCTGAATGAAGGCACCTTCCCCCTTCTGGTCTGTGTCAGCTTGGTGTTGCCTCACAGAGCCTTTGATTCAGAACAGCTTTCCCCTGAGGTTTTGGCCGTGTCCTGCCTGATGGGAGGAATCCCTTGTCCTCCCTGGCTGGCCTCAGTTCAGATCCAGAAGGCAGGAGGGGTGGCCTGACCTGACCTGACCTGACAGATGCTGCTGGGCGGGAGGAACCCTTCCCAGTCCCTGGCTGCTCTGCATTCTCAGACAGAAGCCTGGAGATGTGGGTCTCTTTTAAAGGCCTCTCTGTGCACCTGCCTGACTGAAGGAACCCTTTCCTGGCTGCCTTGAGTTTCAAGGTGAAACCCCTGGAGTTGTGGGTCAACAGAGCCTTGCAATTCTTAATGGCCTTGTGTAAAAGGGTATTGGAGTATCCTATATCATCTAGACTATTTTTCTGTTATTGCCGGTACTGCAAACTACATTTAAAGGTATAGGACATGCAGGAGAAAATAGTCCTCCATAGATGACCATAATCATTGGCTTTTTTGCTTAGGAGAACAACATCTAGCAGAAATTGCCAGCACTCTTATTTCATGGGACTGGCTCTTCTGTAATAGGTGCTCTGGGACTTAAGGCTACTGTGACGACCTCTTATTTGGGGAGGTCTGGTTTGCCTTTAAAAGTTCTTATGTTTTTACTCTGTAGGGTATTTTCGCCGCCACCAGGGAAATTTAAGGCTTTCCCAGCTTCTTACTATAATATATTTCTTCTTCTGGTTTGGTAATGTGGCCCAGGGTCTAGGCATTCATGAAGGACTATGTGTTATTTCCTGAGGAATTTCGTTCAGAACTGTTATCTTAAATAAAAGTAGATTTATTTGCCGTTTCACACACTTTTCTCTTCACTGACAGGGCTCTGGGCATGTCACTATGTAACAATAGTTTCCTTTAGCCATATATGGTCACTGTTTCTTTATGCTTTAACTTTTCTTAACACACACCAGACTTCTCTCTTATGTTTCACACAGGAACCGTCTCACACAGAGACCTCAGGACAAAACTAATATATTAACTGCTTTTGTACAGCACTCTCTGCTGTCTGACTAACTGTTTACTCCGAACTAAGCAACCCACACAGGGAAGCCTCTTCTTATCTGTTTAACTGTATAACTCCGAACTAAGCAACCCACACAGGGAAGCCTCTTCTTATCTGTTTAACTGTACTGTTTAACTGTATATCTCAACTCTGTAACTCAGAACTCTCTGTCATCCTTAACTGTTACTCTTGACTGACATATCTGTTCATCCACACAGCATTCATTCCAAAACCCCTCCCCCTCTCTGTCACTCACCAATCATACAACTTGCCTATTTCAGCATTCTAGATTGTCCCACACAGCCATGCCAACCAACTTTTAAACACACACACACACAGTAAAACATGGAATCGTTACAGCTACATTTTGGTAATGGAAAGCTCTTTCCATGGAGTTGATGGCCACGCCCTCCCAGTCCCTCCTCCTTTTGAGCCCTGGTGCAGCCCTTGGATCTGACCGTCTTTTCCCTCAGGATTGGCTTCTTTAATCATTTCCCAGGGAGGGCATGCAGGACTTGACGTGAGCCCTGTTTCCTCAGTGCCTGCCACAACGAGTACGGTGACAGATGGGGATGGGTACCCATTATGGGAGCAGCTCTGCAAACCGTGGGCCACGTCAGAGCCGTCACTCAGCATCAGATTCCAAGGTGCTCTGGGCTTTTTACCCTGTCCTGAAGAAGACCCTTAAAAGAGTGCCTCCTGGCCATTGGCCCAGCCATAATGGCCACTGAGGATCGAGGGCCCTCCGGTTCAAAAAAGTCAGTGATGTTCTCCTGAATGCCATAAAGCAATCTAATAGGCTCTCTTACGCTGTAAACACATCTCAACATGATATGAACTCCTGGTACAAGCAGTCCTAGACTGTGTGGCTCATCTTCATTCTTTTTTTTTTTTAATGATCTATTTATTGTTTTTAGACAAACCTACACAAAAAGGGACATATAAATATTTGATATTTAAGCACATCATAACATTCCAATCTGGATTAATATCTTAATTATAAATTCTCCAATCAAAATTAGGATTACTTATACATTTATTGCCATTTCCTATTATCCTTTTCTAGTCCAATATCTTATATCACGTATTACAAGATCCTATAAATTACCTTAACAACAAAGTTTATAGTAGATTTAATTTACAATTCATATAGTATCAAAACTGTTACTACTAAACAAGCTTCACTTTAATGATGCCATTCTACTTGTTTAAGTAATTTCTTATTCCCTATTTGAACTGCTACAAAGATAACAATTTAAATTCATTCTATTTCTAACCATCAAAAGCAACAAACAAGACTTTATGTCTACGTCTTAATTTCCATCTTCATTCTAACAGATTGGCACTTTCATCTTGAAGTGGAGCTATTAGAGCACATTGCTTATATAAAACATTATTTGGTGTGTTTTTTTTCAGCCCTCTTGGCTGTTTTACCTAGATTAATAATCCAAGTTGGTGCTTCCTGTTAACTGTTTGGGGATAGGAGCCCACCTCATAAGTATGGTTGCTGTCAGAGCTGGAAAGTCTGCCATCTCTTTGTGTACCATTTGTGGGTAGCACTGTGGGTCAAAATAAAGGCATAACTTTTGATGTCTTCTTTTTGCCAGATTGAAGAAGTCCGGGAAATTATGGAGAGTGAAATGAGGACTCAGCTCCGCCGACAAGCTGCAGCTCACACTGATCATCTGGGAGATGTTCTCAAAATCAAAGAGCAAGAACTCAAGCTGGAGTTTGACAAGGTGGGGGAAAACAGTCGTCCTGCGAAGGACCCATGGCCTTAAATCAGCATTCTTCCTCAGATAGTCTTAACAGTTCTTTCCTGAAAGTTCAGTCCTAAACCATGGTTACTTTTGTGTCAGATAAATCTCATTGGCTGCGGCTGAACTTGCTTTTATGTAAAGGGACTTTTGGTTGCAGCAGTGATCTTTGTATTTATCTCCATTGAGCGTAGCTTAACTGATTTTCAAGGGCATGGTTAGAGGTTGGTCACTGCCTTTGGGCCTCCTCTGGGAGCAGCCAATAGCAGATGTGCTTCCCTCTGTTAGGAGAGGTTATTTGAGCTATCTAGATGATCCGTAATTGCTTTCTCATGTTGCTGGAGAACAAAAGGTTGCCTGAAGTTTGTGTTGTCCCCTCTCTTCCCACCCTCTGTCCATCAGGAACCAAAAATGCAGCTTCCAAAATGGCTCTTTTTTCTTTCTTTTTTCTGCTATTCAGTTGTAGTACCCTGCTAACAGCTTTGGATTTTTGTTGGTTTGTTTGTTCTAGGACCTGTCAGAAAAGCTCAGCGATCAAGAAGTGCAGTATAAGCGCCTCGTTCAGGAGCAGCTGGACAACTTCACTCTGGACATCAACACAGCCTACGCCAAGCTACGCGGGATTGAACAGGCCGTGGAAAGTGAGTGTGGGGAAATAGCACTGAGCCTGTGTCGGGTGCACTCAAAAGTTTGGAGCACTTCGTGTGCATTAGCTTGTTTCAGTCCTACTCACAATACAGTAGGGTACCAGACTGCCGTTCACTGTGTCGGGGTGATGCCGGGAGTGATGACTTACTTAAGAACAGCTACATGAGAATACGAGGCTCACGGACCATCTAGTCCAGCATGCTGCCTCCGACCACAAAATCTTTCTGGAAGATCTGTAGGGAACACACAGAAGGAAAAACCTCCCCCAGTCACTTCAGCAACAGGCGTTCACTTCTTTTTACCTATTTATTTACATTTATCCACAAAATTAATAATCCCTCTTTCTGTCCTTGAAAAGGCCCCCAAGGGGGCTAAGAATTGAAAACATCTATAACACGATTACATTAGGAAACCCTCCTGCACCCTGGACAGGACAGGCCAGCCCGATCTTGTCAGATCTCGGAAGCTCAGCAGGGCCGACTCAAGTACCTGGATGGGAGACCTCCTTGGAATGCCAGCAGTTGGGAGGTGGGGGCAGGCTGTATTCAGCCATCTCTCTGAATATCTTCTCGGTCTCCAGTATTGGACAGTCACCAGAGGCAATGTTCCCTCTAAGATGTGGAGTCTTGTGAGCAAAATTTCTGCTTTGTGAGCTACTGGCATTAAAGTTGTGAGTGAGCCATTTGGTTTCTGCATAAAGTAGTTTGCTCTGGAGCCGTCTTTCCTGAGCTGAGATAAAAATGTGTGAGCTGGAGGCTAAAAAACTGTGAGCTAGCTCACACTAACTCAGCTTAGAGGGAACACTGACCAGAGGTCGCCATGACTTCCAGGTGCACGCGCACGCACACGCACGTATGAAAAGAAAAAGAGATCAGCATCATTAGAACAACTTTAAAAATAGTTTAAAAATGGACTTAAAATACATGCAAAACAGTTAAAATATTTACAAAACATGAAGCCATAGGGGTTAGGCAGGGAGGGGCAGTGGAAGGCATGCCAAGGAAAACAAACCCACCAGCAGAAGATGGCACCAGTAGGAGGCAGGCGGGTGTCCCGGAGGAACCTTTTGGCGCCAGGACGTGGAGGGCCCCCTTCCCCCTTCACTCCGGGGGTGCGCCTGCCTTTAAGTGCCTTCGGGTCATTTTGACTTATGGCGACCCTACGAACAACTGACCTCCAGAATCTCCTAACAGCTTTGCTTGGGTCTCGCAAAGTTGCTGCCCACCTAATCTGGGAAGGTGGGTGCAGCCAAAGCAGGGCCTCTGACAACGACTGTATTTTTGTCTCGAGATGGTTTTTAAGTAGTGGATAGATGACCCTGTGCTGATGACCTTGGTGCCCTGGGTTAGTGACTGACTTATCGTATGTGGTCCTGATAGGACTTTAGCAGCCAGGACTGGCAAAGGTCCAGTGCCCATGCGGTGGCCTCGACAGGCCCCCGGATCTTGTCAGTATCCATCACAGTAACGGGGTCAAAATGGTCCATAATCAGACCAGACGACTGGGCCAGTCTCACAGGCAGGGTCCAGGTCATAGTGCAGTTGTGTTATTGTTATCAGCAAGGAACCTTGCAAAAGTGTCACAGTTCCTGAGTCAGTACCTCAGTACGTGATGAAATGCCTTAAACAGCTGGGAAAGCCGTGAGCCAACTGAGGCAAGGGCTGCAGAAAAATAAGATTTCTTTGTTGCTGTCATCACTAGAGATTCGTTGTGAGTTTTCTGCCAGCGCCTTCCCAGGTGTCTCTTGGCCCTCTTTAGGCCACCCAGATCTGCAGCAAGCCGGGGGGGGGGGGGTGCTGCTTTCCCCCCAGGGGCGGCGGGAGGGGCGGATGAGCGACCTTGTCCGCGGCTCCGAGGAGCTCCACATCCCCAGCTGCCCCTGCAGCCTCAGCAGGGCAGGGGTTCGGACTTGCTCTGGGAGATCCGGGGATTCCACAGTGTGGCCTTTTTAATATGTTGGGCCCATCGAGAGAGGTCCAGGACAGTCCAAGAGGCCATGGAACCTTGGGCTGGTTCTGGAGAGGAGCACGGCATGAATGCGGAGGCCACCCGGAATCCTTGTTCTCAGTGCCGCATGATCGGAGAGGGCCCCTGCCTGCTCAGGAACCCCACAACGCAGGGCTCGCCAGGAAGACCGCCCCAGGAGCAAGCCTTTGAGAGCCCCCAGAGGAATGACAGCTATCCCAGGATACCAAAACTGACCTCATGTCAGTCATTGCGACAACAGGCCTCTGCTCACTTCCCCCCCTCCCCCAGCACAGGCTTTGGGCCCCTCCCAACACACTAGTCTAAACACAAAACGAAGATGGAATGGAAATGTTTCTTCATTTAAAGGAGGACCTCGGTAGTAGAATACCCTGGCCTCCTTTGGGGAACCATTTTTTCTCCTGCTACCACATGTGCTCCCTCCCTTTCATGCACGATCAAAAGACCAAAGCTGTCGTTTTTTGTGAAGGTGCCCCATTATGCCATTTGCCTTGGTCTGTGACCAGCCTTTCAACTGATCAGGTGAACACCTTCCACTATCTCGGTGTCCTCTTTTGTTATAATGTGTCCTGGACACAACTGCTGCTAAGAAGTTAGCATCAGTACACTCATCAGCTCTCCTAAGATTCATTTGGCCCTCAGGAGTAATTCTGTACCTGCCACTATCGAGGTTTTCAGGCAAAGGTAGTTCACATGGTGAACTGTTGACCTGCAGCCAGAGTCTGCCAATGTGTATCTCTTGTCCAGCCATTCATTTGGGATTTGCTGAACCATTCCTGGAGGCCAAAACTTGGGTAGCAACATTCAGACTGAGAATTTTCCTGTTCTTTTGAGGGGTGCCAGCTACACTGGTTTCCAAAGCTCATCGCTAGGTTGGGCTTTTCCTTTCACTTTTTAACCAAATGGAATGCCCCTCTGCATGCAAGTAGATTACGTCCCGCATGCTCAGTAAAACGGTGCACTGGCTGCAGAGCCCAAAGGGATGTTTCCTATATTATTTGGGTCTCTCCACCCCAAAGACTCTATAGCTCCTTACTGTAAGTTTTTAATAGTTCTCAAATACAGAACACGATTCTGTAAGGCAAGACTAAGTGTCTTGCCACTAGGGGAAGTATCAGGTAAATTCACAGGGATTCCATTCTCTGAGCGGGTTTGGGGCTTTAGACACTATTTGGCATTTTTTCATTGATTGCAACTAATACAACAGTGCCCGTGACAAGTGGATTACAGTTTACATCCAAAAATGTAGCCCTGCCATGAAGCAGGAGACTGGAGCTAAGCTATTAGCTGACACTGACCCAAATGTGACTCTCACAGTTGCAATTTTTTTGTCTATGGCATTTAATGGTATTACTTTTTAATGTAAATCTTTTACTCATGATACTGTACCTTTGCGTTTCCCCTTGTTTGCCTGTATATTTGCCTGTAATTTGGCTGAGTTCTCCAGACTCCCCTTCCTGAACATAGGAGCTGTGGCAGGGGTACCTGCCCCCCCCTTTCCACAGTGAACAGAGAAGCAAAAAATGTCATTCAGCTTCTCAGCCTTCTTCCTTTGTCACCCAACGGCCCTGCTGCTTCCCTGACTGGTTTCCTGCTCTGGAGATATTTAAAGAAATGCTTATTGTTTGTCTTGGTGCTTTTAGCGACCCACTCCTCAAATTCTCTTGTGTGCCAGAGCCTGTGGCCAGTGTTCCCTCTAAGCTGAGTGTGTGAGCTAGCTCACAGTTTTTTAGCCTCCAGCTCACACATTTTGGTCTTAGCTCAGGAAAGATGGCTCCAGAGCAAACTAATTTTATGCAGCAGCCAAACTACCTGCTCACAACTTTAATGCCAGTAGCTCACAAAGTAGAATTTCTGCTCACAGGACTCCACAGGTTAGAGGGAACATTGCCGCCCCTCCTGTTTAATTCACTGGGGCGGACCGTCCACTTTTTAAAAGAAGCCTCTTTACTTTTTATAGCTTCCTTGACTTGCACTGTTAACCACGCAGGCCTTCTTTTAGACTGGGCAGTGCCTTTCCTAACCAATGGAATACATTTACTACTCCCCTCATTTATGTAAATGTTAACAGTTTTGGACTTTAGGGGTAACTTTCCATTGGCCTGAATGCTGATCTTGAGAGCATCTCATTTCTGCAGCATGACTCGAGCATGTTTACCCAGTCTGTGTGAGGCTGGTTGAAGTCTCCCAGCATAATTGCATTCTCTGCTTTAGTCACTTCCCCCATTTCCTTCTCCATCTCAAGATCAGCCTCAAGGGTTTGATCGGGGGGGGGGGGGGAAGGTCACCTCAGGGCCCAGAGTGTTTCCACCCGTACCGCTTCTGTTGGGGGGTTAATTCCCCCGATGTTTTCGAACTTTGCTGAGTCTGTGCCCTCTTTGGCACACAACGGAACACCTCCCCCCAACCCGCCCCTCCCTGCCCAGCCAGATTAACAGCTGTGAATATGAAGTGCATTTGCTTTGGGTTCTTCACTTTTCCCACCTTTAAGCTTTATGGGTTGCAGGCCATGCGGTTGCTGAGGAAGAAGCCAGGAAGGCTCATCAGTTGTGGCTCTCCGTCGAAGCACTGAAGCAGAGCCTGAAGACGGCTTCTGGAGACAGCCCCACCGAGCCGCTGGAAGGTGCCGTGAACGCCATCCGAGCCAGTTGTTCAGAGAACACGTTCACCCAGGCCTTAACGGCTGCCCTCCCGCCAGAATCGCTCAGCCGGGGGGTGTACACGGAAGAGGCGCTGAGGGCTCGCTTCCAAACCGTCCAGAAACTAGCAAAGAGGGTCGCCATGATAGATGAAACAAAAAACAGCCTGTATCAGTACCTGCTGTCCTACCTGCAGTCCCTCCTCTTGGTTTACCCTCAGCAGCAGAAGCCGCCCGCTGAGCTCAGGCCTGAAGACTTGGGCACCTTTAAGCTGCTCTCCTATGCATCCTACTGCATTGAGCACGGAGACCTGGAATTGGCGGCCAAGTTTGTCAATCAACTGAAAGGGGAGTCTAGGAGAGTAGCGCTGGACTGGCTAAATGAAGCTCGAATGACCTTGGAGACAAAACAGGTGGTGGATATCCTGACTGCCTACGCCAGTGCAGTGGGCTTGGGGACCACTCAGGTGGACTGATGAAGAACAACGTCTTCAGAAACAGATAGAAAATCGCCAGCTGTGTGGAGACAGAAATGTCAGGTTAGACCTGAAAAGCTTCCACAGCATAACAGGCTAGAAATATAACAACATCCAACAGATGATGTCTCTTTGCACTGTTGTAAATCTCTTGCCACCTGTTGCACTGTAGCCCTTATCAGCCATTTATCATGTCTGGAATGCTGGGGTGGGGAACAATTTCAATGATTTAAATTTCCAGGTATTACTGATTGGGCTTATGATGCAACTGAAATAATGTTTGTAACTCCTATTACTAATTTGCCACTTGGTGCAATTAAATATAATGTGTAAAAATCAGGCTGATGCTTTTTCATTCCTCCTCTGTGAAGCTATACACTCAAAAAGGAGAGAGCCCGAGAACAAGTACTGTCTCTGTGCTGGCAAGATGGCATCCTGGAGCGTACCGGAGGGAGGGAGGGAGGGAGGGGGCGTACGGACGTTTTGGGCTGAAGTTTCTGTGCTCTGTCCCTTTCCCTGTGAGGGGTCATGTGGAGGGAACACTGTTCAGCCTGTGCCCGGGGACCTGTTCGCCGTCGCCGCCGCCTCCTCCTCGGGTGATCAGTAGGGTTATGTTCAAGAAAACGTATTCCGTAAGTAGAACAATGACATTTCAGGTCCTCCAAGTGTTGATATAATTAAACTTTGTATTGAATATACATAAACAAACAATAGCCATCGGAGGCCAAGGAAGTGTCCATATTTAAATTCCAAAATCTGCTAAAAGGGAAAACGAAGTGCTTGGAACACGGGGGCGGGGGTCCCCCCACCCCCTTATTGGACCTGATGGATGTTGTGCTAGTGAGCAGATTTCTCTTATAACCCTCCCCAAATGCATTTGGAGGGATTTAAAGAGTCGTTCAGGCTTTGGAGGCAGCAGGAAGGACAGTCTGGTGGGACAGGCCCTCCTCTCTATTGCATCAGGAGAACAGCAGCAGGAGCAAACTCTATGAAAAAGGCACAGAAAGATGGTTTGGGGCCAAAATTCACGGCATGTGGGCTGCTTCCTGTCACGGCCTATCCCACAGTAATTGGGTGCAAATTTATTTCCACAAAAACCACAGTGGGATAAGCTGAAATAGGACATGGCATCTATGCCTTGCGGGAGGATAGGCAGAAAGAAGTCCTGAAGAGCGCTTAGAGCAGAGTCAAGGAAAGAAGCCCCTCCACCCCGGACCGTTTGGTAAAAGTCTGCAAAACAAACTGTTGACAGGTAAGCAGACACTGTGAGGAACGCGTGGAGCATTAAAGCAGACGGTTTCATGTATGTATGAAGCAGGAAACCAGGCAGGGAAGTTGCCATTAGATGACAAAGTAAGGAGTGGGGACATGCAGAATACGTGTAGCAGTTCTGGTGTGTTTTGTTCCTAATTTCAGGTCTGTGACCTGTTTCCCTGGGGTGAGACACGAATGCTCATCTAGGGGCAGTGTTTTCAAACTCCACGATGGTCTAGGAGGCAGCTTGCAAATTACAAGCGGATGCAGATTACTACAAGGAAACCCCTCTAGGACTTGCTTCCGCTTCTACATGACCAACACTTTGTCCTTTGCCAGCTTTCACAGAGCCTTCCGTTGCCTAGCAGCATTCTGCCCAGACTGGTGCTACCCAGGTTGAAGGAATTGCATCGAGTCCTGCTGACTTAATTCTGCCTCATTCCCCGGCAGCCGACGTCCTTCAGCACGCTTGAAGAAGGGAGGCAAGCAAGGCCACCTGGAGTGGTGAATCCGCTGGCCCTCCCGCTTCATGGTGGGGCCTGGTTTGCCCGAGAGCTCGCAAAGCAGTACTTGGACCTCACGTGCCCCTGGTCCAGGGGGAGGGGGGAGAGGAGGTAGTAGCCAAAGGGTTAGGGGGCCAGCTACTGGTCTGCGTTTGCAATGCTTGGACCTCTGATTCAGGCAGAGGCACCGGATGAATTGTATCAGGTGCTGCTTAATCCTTGGGTGGATTTGACATTGGCTAGATGAAAGGAAGCAGAGCATAGGAACAAATGGACAGTTTTTGTGATGGGAGGGAAGTGAGCTGCAGAGTGCCACTTAATGGGTCCACAGATGGTCTGGAATCGGGGGTGGCCGCCCAGTTTGCATAGGATACCAAATAATACAGAAGGCTCTCTCTCTCTCTAAATGGGACACTGAATTTGTCTCAGCAGGCTTTGCTCTTCAATAAGCTTAATCTCTCTTTAATAAGTTTCTATTAATTTACTGGGAACAAATCTAACTGCCCTGTAATTCCCTGGGTCCCCTATAGAGCCCTTTTGAAAAATTGATGTGATTATTTGCAACTTCCTGGTTCCCTGGCACGGAAGTCAATTTTAAGGATAGGTTTTGTATACTGGGTAGGATTCAAGGTCTCATATCTGAGTTCTTTAAGAACACTTGTGTTTACAATCTGGATGGGGAAATTTACTAGTTTTTGGTTTGCCTAGAAGTCCTAGACCTTCATCTGCCATCTCAATTTGACCCAGTTCTGCCGACATCCTTCTCCAAAACAGCAGCTCCATTCCACAGTGAAAACTGACAGAAAGTGTTCATTTTCTTTGCACTGCCACACCTTCCATCAGTATATTTCCCCCTTTGTTCCTTTGTCCTCCAACAGTCCATCACAGATTTCTAGGAGACAGACTAGTTACAGGTGTAGAGGTCAGGGAGAGAAAGATGGGAAGCTGGTTTGAAAGAAGGCTCACAAAGCATATGCTATTCCCTCCCCCCTATACAGGCAAATGCCACTAACTGTCCAAAGACATGTAATCTTGGCAGGATAATCTCTGCAAAAAGAATTCCAAACTATTTAAGAACTGGCAAAAATATCTTACAGCAGAAAAACAAATGCCGCCTTTAGAATCTACATTCAGATCAAGCACAGCTTACGGACTGCAGACCCCAGCACTCCAGGCAGGGTGGTTGGTGCAAGGGACCCAGGAAAGATTCTGCACCGCTGCAAGATAAACGGGGAGACAGAGAGAGGGATTTCTTGCTGCACGCTGCCAGAAGACCTCCTGCCCCATACAGTCAACGCCCTCTCACTGGCACCAAAGGCGAGGCAGGAAACTGCTCTTCAGTTGTCTCATAGCGTCCTCCTTTTGAGAGGACAGACAGGGCTTTGGGTTGGGAAAAGAACTACATACAGCAGCTGGAAATGGTATTGCACTTTCCAATTTTGTTAACATTTGTGGAAAAAACAGTAGCAATCCTTTACAGTTTCTTTTCTTTTCCAGGGATGTATGTTTAGTTTCTTTTTAAAAAAAGGTAGTGGGGGGATGTCCACAAAGAGGTCAGAGCAACCTTGCTATTCAGTGCATGTTATTAATTCTGCTACGTGCAAAGCGGACCAGAACTGTAGCACCATTCCCATCCGAGGTTCCGCCCCGCAGAGTCTTCCAGCGCAGCCCGTCTCTCTGTCACCACATGGCAGATGGTGAAACAGGATCCTCTATTCACTGCTGTGGCTGCTCACTGCCAGCAGATCATCCAAAGTGTTCCTGCAAAGACAGGTGAGAAGCACGTCAGGGTGGCAGCCTCAGCGCTGGCAGGGAAGCACCAGACTGAGCGTGGCCAAGGCGGCTGGGCGAGACGGACAGGGGCTCACGGACCCCTTTCCTGGGGGAAGTGGGCAGGGCCAGCGGGGGCTCTTGCTCAGCACGGGTTCTGACGGGCTGTGCAGGTTTTTTGGAAGACTGCTCTCGGCTGAGAAGGGCACGCAGACAGGCACGCACTCCTGCTGCTGAGAAGAACAAGGGCTCAGGGTCTCTGGGTTTGTTTGTTTGTTTGTTTAACATAGATCAGACAAAAGAGGGAAAGGAAGTTGCAGTGGGAAAAGCCCCCCAAAGAGGTTCAGAGACCGAGGAGAGGAACTGGACCTGCCGAACAGACAGGATGGAGACTTCGACAGTCCCGGACCTGCCTGATTCCTCGGAGTCCTGTCTGCAGGGCAAGACTCATCCTGCATCCAGGACGAAGGCTGCATCTCTCGACGAACAGCATGTTACAGCAGCATTATTGCTCTGAACGGAAAGAGACCCTCATTCATGATGGAAGCTCACCTTTGTTCTTCAGAGAGTTGGAACTCCTTCTGCACTCTCTCAGCAAGCCTTGAAGTCGATTGTAAACTGAAATCAGCAGCCAACGTCACCAGGTTAAGTGCCTGATCTGGGTCATTGCTTTGCTTAATGCAGTTCAGTACCTCATTCATCACGACGTCACTGCATGAGACAGAAAAAGAACATGACCGATCCAGTGGCATGCAACCCAAAGGTGAACTGAATACCGTCTTCTGCTATGAACAGTGATGACATAAGGACTTCACAACTGCTTTTGACAGTCACTTCAGACCCGTTTTTTGCTTCCAGGGTTCTGAGACTCAAGTGCTGTGTGCCAGCAGGGAAGCCCAGAAGGACTCTGTTCTGAAGGGGCCAGTGGACCCTGGCTGCTAACACTGCCCACTGACTCAGAATTATGCAAAAGAAGCAAAATCCCCTTTGAAAGGAACCAGACACAATCCCAATATTATTTAACTACTTTAAATAAACATGGAAGATTTTAAGGCAGCAAGGTTCATTCCGTCAGGTCCTTATTACAGATTCCTCAACCCAAGAGGATAAATTCTCCAAAAAACCCCAAATAAAGTCCAAAAAATGAATTCTCCACTCATTCCTCAAACACAAGAACTGGCACCCAAACAAGAAAGCACGACAAATCCGAACACATCTGACATCCTCACCACACTAGGTTACAGACTGCAATAATCTCCCCAGTTTCAGTGAGCAACAGGACAATAGAATGAATTGGCCACTTCAGTCTGGCTGAGAGATTTAACATCACCAATCTTTAGTCTAACAGAAGTGGAGGCGGACGATAACCGGGAAATGAATGGCGGGGGGGGGGGGGGCGCTCATGTTATGCCCCTTCCAGGGCATCCTGCTCTCTCTTGTACCATAAAACCGGCCAACATTTTTATACAGCCAATTCTGGATTTTTCCAGTGTTTGGGGTGTGTGTGTGTGTGTGTCCCAGTAAAGAATTCTTTGTGTGTTTATTTATTTTGACATTAAGGGGGAAAAACCAGGTTGCTGAACTGTAACCAATGATCTTCGAGTGTTCATCTGTGCCGTCCCATACATGGGTTCCGCGCCTGCACTCAAACCCGACCCCGGAGAACAGTCTCTGGTTGTTGGCGTATTTTCTTCCCGTGCTCCGGGGAGCAGGCATCGACTGTGCATGCCTGGAGCGGAAAGGGAAACACCCTCCCACTCTGGTTCTTCCAGCCACCGCTGACAAGTCCCAGCAAAAAGGAGTAAACTCGTGAGAGATGCCAGCAGCAGGGAAGGCTGGGTGGGCGCCTCTGACTGCACAGATGACCACTCAAAGATCAGTGTTTATCTTCTTTGTGGTCTCTGTGCAGTCCCACGCGTGGGTGATCAGCGAGCTTCAACACATGGACAGTGGGTGCTGGTAGCACCACAATGCGATACCAATAATAATAAAAAGCAAATAACAGCATTACCTGCAAGGCCTACTTGAACGGTCAGAGGACAGCAGGCATCCATGGAAAACAGATCGCAGCACCGATGGCCCAAAGGACACATCCCACCTGGCTCTAACGTCGAGTGCATCACGTGTCACAACAGTAGTCTGGGAGGACCACGTTGCAGCAGCCCAAATGTCCTCCAGAGGGACACCCTCGAGAAAAGCTGATGACGTGGATGTGGCTCGTGTTGAGTGGGCCGTCAGCAAAACAGGTAAAGGCTGCTTCACCAGCTCATCGCAAAGTGAGACAGCCAAGCTTATCCACCTCGCAAGTCATTGGGGAGAAAGTTTGTGTCCCAGGTGAGGTTTGTCATAAGCTATGAATAAGCGAGGGTCCTTACAAAAGGAAGAAGTCCTGGAAAAATAGCACTCTGCAGACATCTAAGGTACGAGGAACCCTCTGACAATCATCAGTAGGATTAGCGAAAAGCATGGGCAGTACGACAGGTTGAGAAACGTGAAAAGTTGACACCACCTTAGGCAGGAATAGGGGCTTGGCCTGCAGGACCACTTTGTCTTCGTGAAAGATGGCATACGGTGGGTCAGCACGCAAGGCGCGAAGATCCCTTGCTCTCTTAGTAGGCGTGAGGGCTACCAAAAATGCCATCTTCCGAGAGAGAAGATGCAGGGGCATAGTTGTGACAGGCTCAAACAGTTTGCCCATGAGCTGGAGGAGGACGAGGGACAGACAGACTCCACGCTGGAACTACAGGCTTAACAGGAGGGTGCAACTGAGCCCGCTTGCGGGGAGGGTGGGTTACAAATATAATAAATAAATAAATAAACTTCAACATACCCTTCAAGAATGACTTTGAAACATGATGAGAGAAAACAGTTCTACCTTCAACAAAATTATGAAAGGCAGAAATTGCAGACAAATGCACCTTCAATGAAGAATAGTGTAGTCCCAACTCATGAAGAGACCAAAATAGGAGAGGATGACAGGTAGGGGTGCAGTCTGGGGGTCGCATAGGAAATGAAACATCGCCATTTTGCCACAAGTAGCCAGCTTTCAAGCATTCTGAAGAATATGTTGAAACTCAGGTGGAAAGGTCAGGCTGATATCCACCATGTAGTCAGCTTGAAGAGGCTGGGATTGTGATGAAGGACCCGGGCTTGGTGTTGGGAAAGAAGGTCCAACACTGGTGTAAGATCTCGGTACATGGCACAAAACAGTTGTAGAAGACTCACAAACCAAGGTTGTCTTGGCCACCAAGGTGTTATCAGGATGCAGTCCGAGTGGTCTTGACCGAGCTACTGAAGTGTCCTGATGATAAGTGGAAATTGGGGGGGGGGGGGGGGGAGAAGGGGAGAACCCACT